GAATTTTAAAAAAAAACCCCTCCCCCCCCCCCCCCCCAGTAGATCTCAATCTTACTTCATGGAGAAAAAGCATGCCATTATTCTAAGACTTTCTCATTCTTCCATCCTCTGCCTGTCCATCTTATCTTCTCTCATAATTGTGTCTCACGACTAAGGTGACTCCATCCGTCTGGACCCTTTCTCTCCCTTTGTCCTCTCAGAGACCACTGATGGCCTTCTCTCTGCCACATCTTCAACCCCTTACCGTTTTTTTAAGAAAAAGAATTATTTATTTAATTTGATTTATTCATTTATTTTAGTTTGATGAGAGAGAGAGAGGAGAGAGAGATAGAGAGAGAGAGAGAGAGAAAACAAGCCACCAGGTCCAGGACTTGAACTGTGGTGGCCATGTGGGAGTGTCCAGCACCTTAACCACCATGCTACTGCTGGTCCCAACCCCTTCCTTTTCACTGGATCCCTTCCACTGCTATTTAAACACAGATCTTTTATGTATTTGGCACCAGCAGAAATGACCATAGCAAAATACGTGCACAAAACCCGAACCCTCCATTCATGTCTCTCCCATCTTTGTTTTCTCACTTCCGTGGACAAACTCCTTCCCGGGGTGGGCCAGACTTGCCGTCTCTGCTTCCTACGCACTTCTCGTGCACTCCTCATCCTACTGGGGTCTAGTTTCTGTCCCTAGCTCTTTTCCTTTTCCACCGTTTCCATACGTAGGAATGCTGGTGACTGCATAGGCAAAAGTCCTCGGAGATTTCCTTGTCATTTTACCACCTTTCTTATGTGGCTTTTCTGTTTGAAATGGTGACTGATTTCTGCATCTCTTCATTGGTTCCCTCTCACTTCCCTGGCATTTTCCTCCAATTTATGGGGCACCCTCTGTTGCTTCTAGAAGCTCTGAGCTCCCGACTGTCATTTTAGCTCTGCAGTCATCTTGGCCGATCCTCTCTAGTTTTAGGACTTTGAGCAGATCATCGGCTCTTTTGCCTTTTAATTTCCTTATCTGTAAAATAAATGGCTTCCCCTAGACTGGTGGATTTCAAGCCTGGCTGCACATTAGAATCACCTAAGGAGCTTTCTCTTTTTTTCCCTTAACTGCCACAGGGCATGTGTACTTGAGAGAGAGAGAGAGAGAGAGAGAGAGAGAGAGAGATAGAGATAAAGAGATAGGGAGGGAAAAAGCACCCCCCTCCCAATGAATTGTGGTTTTGCGGCAATCCCTTCTCTTCCGTTTCCTCATCCTGGCAGGATTTTCAAGCCAAAGCAGCTGGGACTCAAACTGCAGTTGATCCTGAGGATTCTGGGTCCCTTAAGCACCATTTCTCAGGCTGGACTTTAGATCAATGACAGCGTCCCAGTGCCCAGGCCTCAGGATTTCAAATTCAATTTTATTATTATAATTAGTCAAGATTTTAAACATTTTCCCAAAGATTCCTTGTACAAACTGAGTAGAAAACCACTGACCACAAGTTTTAAAGGGCCTTTGCTCTTCTGTTATTTTGTGTTTTTATCATGCCCCAACTCCCAAATTGAGGTTTTTCTTCTCTTAATGTTTGCACTGAGTTAGGAAGAAATGGCTGTGGCGCTCCCCCACCCCCTTCCATCTGCTGTTTGTTCTTATTTACATACGATGGAACCCAGCCCGCTGGTTTACAGCTCTGGTTCCCTTACAACTGTTATTGAACTGAAAACATAGCTGAAAACTTATTAAACAGAAAAAAAATTATTTTGAGCTTCGTGCCGGCAATTCATCATAGAACCAAGGAAACATCTGAACTTCTTTCCTTCTAGAATGGTGTTAAAAGTTCACTTATAACCCCATCATTGCAAATGCAAAATTTTAATTCTGGGGCCTAATGCAGCACTTACTGTTTCTTGAGTGTCCCATTAAGAAAGCCAAGTGGGCCAGCAGGTAGTGAGGTGGTTAAGGCAGCTGGGTCCCACATGGCTGACTTCACAGTTTGAGACCCAGACCAGGTGACATGAAGGGCTTGCTGGGTATGTGGGCATGCATGCCCAGAATCCCAAGAGGAGAATGGAGGAGAAAGGATTGTGGTGTGGCCATCCTCCCAGGGTTGCGTTCCCACTTTCCCCTTCTCTTTCTCTTTCTTTGGTGAGCACACGTGCCCTATGGCAAACTGAAGAAATAAAGAAACAAGCAAAGCCAGATCACCCAGGTGGTGCAACAATGACACACTGCTCGAGTGAGGCTGGATCCATATGGAAGTTCATGGTCCATGATCTTAACTGGCTGGGAAGGCAGGAGGGTAGATCATGGTGAGAGTGCTTGTCTCTCACTTTCTCTGTGTCTTTCTCTGTCTCCAAGAAAGAAAGAAAGTTAAAGCCAACACATTTCTATAGCAGAAAGGAATGTAGAGGGCCTAGTGTCCGTGAACAGGGAAGGAGGTTTCCTCCCACTGCTGTGCATGGTTCTTTAAAGTTAAGGGTCAGCCTCTTTTTCCTCCAGTCCTCTCTGCTGCCCTCCCCCCGCCCCCCAAACACATCAGCAGCAAATTCAGGGCAAACACATCCTCCACGTGGATGTGGCCTCACTGCTTGAACACTTCGGAATGGGTCTTTCAGAACATGTTTTTTTCTGCTGTAGCTCCCTTTAGACCGACCGCGTTAGATTTGAAATAGCATGAGACTGTCCGAGTTGCCAGGGAGTAGAGAGGAGAGTACAAAGATGATAGAGAACAGCCAAGCATTTGGTTTAACTACTGGCACTAATTCTGCAAAAAATTGGGGTCCTGACCTAAGTCTGATTCATATTCATGAAGTGTCCTTTGGGGTATGGGCTCTCCCTGCCTCTTTCACTGTTAACAGTATCTCTTTCAGCCGTTGGTTCACTTTGTAATACCTGTCTGAAACACAAAGCCCATGCCTTTGATTGTCTCTGTTAAGTCCTTATTAAACTATTGATAGATGTAGACTTACTTAGTAGATACTCACAAATGTATTTATAACATGTGGTGAACTTCTTTCCTCATGTGATTACAGTGGACTATTCTCAAGGGAAGAAATGGTTAGTTATCTTTCTTTTTCTTTTTAATTGCCAGAGGGTATGAGTGCTGGCCAGAGAGAGACATAAACAGAGAGAGAGGGAGAGAGGAAGAGAGAGAGAGAGAGAGCACCACCCCCAGGGGGTGTGGTCACACTGCAATCCCTTTTCCTCCATATTTTTCATCCTGTTGGGACTTTGGGCATGCATGCACATGTGTCTGGTATAGTTCAAGCCTCTGGAGCTGGGATTTAAATGTGTTAGCCATGTTGGGTCTAGCTCCCTTAACCACTAGGCTGTGGGCCAGCCTGGATAATTATTTCTAAATGGTGGGAAAAGGGACATTTTCCTGGAAAAGAAATGTTGCCAGCTCATGGAGTTAAGCTAAAAGAACCTCTCTCATCATGTTGAGCATTGAACTTGAACTATTTTTCATGCAAGATGATTTTGGCTAAGCAAAACTTATCTTAAGCTCCTTGTCTTTGACACCTGCCTCTTTGGGTATTTTTTTGTAGATGGAGGAGTTGATAGAAGGTGTTCGCTGGGCCTTTATTGACATGCTAGAGAAAGAAAACGAGTGGATGGATGCAGGGACAAAAAGGAAAGCCAAAGAAAAGGTAAGGACTCCTTTTGGAGGAAACAAAACATAGCGACTTTCGGTGTATTGGATTTTCATGCTTGACATGGAGTGTGTTGTTGATATTTATTTTGACTGAGCTGTTGACTCCAAATGACATGAGTTAGGTGTCTGCTTTTAGTTGAATACATAGATTTCATCACCAGGAGGTAAGAGAAAATGAGACCTGACTTTTTCTAACTGCATTTTGTAATTCAGTCTTTCCTTCTCTCCTAATTGCTCTCTAGAAGAGCCACATGGCTCGCTGCCTAGCAAATTTTGCCATCAACCATCACTGGATATGGCAGAATGCAGAGCAGTGGGGAGCCATGGGGAGCAGCTGGCAGAAGAACCCTCAAGATACATAGAAGAAATCTCCATATTGGCCACGTGCCCTTCTGCTCTGTGCATGACATTTGCAAATGTCCAGGGGCAAATACTTTCTGGTAACCATGCAGCTCTACTTCCTAACCCATCATTTGGCATGGATGACCCATTATAGCGTGCTTGTGAACTGCAGGCCAATGGTAGGCCATTGTGTGGGAATACAAAATGATCTCTTCTTAGAAGTGGACACTTGTCTGGGCCTTGTAAACATTTTCTGATACCAGGCAACAAGATAAGGGACTAAATGAGAAAAGCATTAACAGCCATGCTGTTTACAAATCAAAAGCAGGACCCATTGTGGATTCCTCATATTCTGGGAGCCCAAGTGGGCTCCTACTAGAGGTCACCTTGCATCCTGGAGACTCTGAAAGTAGGGACATTTCTTCTTTAGAGAGGTGTTTGTGAAAGCTTCCTGACATAGCTATCAGCTTGGTTGTCTGGAAATGCTTCAGCTTTCTGAGCTCCTCCCCAGCAAGGTCTGGTTTAGTAGATCAAGAATTCAGTTTGAACATTTGTGATTTTAGCTTGTCTCCCGGGTGATTGCTATCGTTAGGCAGGCCCAGGGAACACTGCTTTGAGTCATATTGAGCACAAATATTTTTGTCTTATGGTCAAGAAACAAAGAGTGTAACATTCTGAGAATGCCTAGCCTTGTTGAAAAGAGAACATGCAGAGGTTTAGCAAGGGTATTTTCTAGAGCTTTAATACTTCCAAGATAGATAAACACTACCATAGATATTTTTGTCAATAGACATGAAAAAGCTGTTCAGTGTTGATAGTGAAAAAAGAACTTGGGTGGGGTGGGTGTATATGTGTGTGTGTGTATGTGTGTGTGTGTGTGTGTGGAGTGTTGGTAGAAGACAAAGGGTAAGTTTGATTTATTTCCCTTCAAAAATCTGTCGGAGCTGTTTGAAGTCATGTAAGGCACAAGCTGATGAAGAAAGGGGCACACAGGCTGTGATGGGAAGCTCTCCAGATGGTAGATGAAACTTTCGGCACCAACACACTGTTTTTTCGAAGCCTTCATTTATTTGCTGAGCTAGCTTGTGATATCTGGGACAGAACGTGTCTTCACTGAGCAGTTGAGTGCTCAGCGTATGAGACATTCTTTATCCTAACCTGACCCCTGGGGACCGAGGGGGACGTGTGTATGAGTTAGCGCAGGACCACCAGTGAGGAGGAAGGGGTGGCATGTGAGGGTGTGTGTGTTCTGAATGGACAGGTACCCCAAGAATGTTCTGGGAACTGAATTCAGAACTTTGAGAACTTTGGATGGAGAATGCCTCAGGGTAGCCTTTTGAGTTGCATAAGGGAGTGGGTGCCTGCAGTTGGACCTTCTTGGCAAGTGGCCCATGGGTTCTTCTTGAGGGAGGACTATTCTCAGTCTTTCTAATATTAGACGTGTTCCTCTTCGTCCCGAGTTGCTCTCAGTCTTCTATTTTATTTCAATGAGAGCTGTCAGTTTTTCTTCTAAAAGTACTCTTTGAACACTCTGCTTCCTTTGAGCTGAGTTCAACCTGCCAGGAACTCTGCTAGTTCCTTGACAGGTACAAATATCAAAGGCAGTTGTCCTACTGGATCTCACCAGGTTCCTCAAGTAAACCTTGTATTTCAGAATTCAGATTTCTTTTAATGAGAGGCAAGAAAGAGGGATGTTGTCAAAAAATTTCTTCCAAGGTGGATCCAGCCCTGGACCCCTAGATAATGTAGTCCCCACCTCACCACCCCCCCCCCCCCGCCCCCAAAAGTAAGTATACATGCAGTTCTGGAAATGACCTCTGGGTGGAGCTCATAGTACTCACAAAGACCACTTACCTACTGAAGGCTTTTATTGCAGCTTTCTACTCTGGGTTGTTTTTAAAAGATTATTTTTTTCTGCCCCCCTTTTTTTTTCCTCTGCTGTCCTCGATTTGATTGCCTTTTAATAGTCAACAAGACAGGAGAGACTCTGCCTAATAATTCCTTGAATCTTAGATGGAAATCTCTGACTATCTTGGGGCTTTGTCTTTCTGATACTGAGTAGTAGCCCCTGCATTAAGAAAGGATTTGCCTGCATTTGAAGTGGAGGTGAATAATTCGCCTTCCCTTCCTGGTATGACTTGGCACTGTTCTTTGGGCATGTGTTGTATGCAGTATATCAACCAGGCGGAAGATTTCTCATCAATAATAGTGCCCACACTGGGCCAATGCTGAGTCACTTGGCAACCCATTGGGAAAGCTGGAAAATGTTCTGATTTGTGAGGGGGAGAAGCTTTTCTTTCCCTCACCATGAAGCTCTGAACTACAGCTAATTACAGCGCCTCCTATGAGGTGTCTACCTGAGTGTTCCGTAGTGATTGACCTCCAGGACCCGGTGGGGGTGGGCAGATCCTGCGGTAGTCTGGGGCCTAACACCTTGGTTTTTGTAGCAATGACCCTGTCTCCAAATGGAATTGTGTGGTTGTGGCATTGTCATGCTCTTTGCTAGGGGAGATCACTGTGAAAGATAAACGAGGACGCCTCTGCTCCTGCGGAGGGTAAATTTGTTCTCTCTGCCTCAGCTCATCTCTTAAGAGGTCACAAATGTTGTGCTGTGAAACCGACGGTGTAGGTCGCAAGTGGAAATTTAGTCTTGTGAAAAAAAGCACCAATCTTTCTTCAGAATTCTGTGTTCCTGCAAGTGTGTGCCCGTATTGGAAGTAAGCTGCAAAGGACAGGAGACCTTTTATTTTTCTGGTTACCATTGTTGTTCGATGAGTGTAAAGTGATCAGACAATAATTTTTGGGGTGTCTTCTGGAGGATTGTCTTTTGCAGAGCAGAAGAGGGTCTCAAGGTCACCACAGAATGGTTCCAAGGCCTGGCAGGAGAGGACTCGCTCAGCATCACCTTTGACAGCCCTGGCCAGCTCTGTGTCATATCAGGAGGAGGGGCTCCTCCCAGCTGGATTTCATTATGTAGCTGGATCCGGAACTTGTCAGGCCACACCCAGAGAAAAATACCAGGATGACTCTCACAGGGACGTAGCACCCTGAGGGTTGAGAGAGTGGCCTTGACTTTGGCCACAGCAGGCTCTGAGAAGTCTGCTGCTGGTCCCCACTTTCCAGGCATGAGACTCCCGGGCACAGGCTCTGAGTGAGGGGTGGAGGAATGAGGTTTCTTGCAGAGGGCAAAACCGCAATGTAGTTCACCTCTTGGTTTTGTCTCTAAGTCTTCCCCTTCCTAAGGGTTGGATTTCCCTGAGGTCTGCAACTGTACTGACCAGTTGGGCCAGTACCCTCCCCATATCCTCAGCCCTGGTTCTCAGGCCTCCAGACCAGCAGCCACTGCAGCACCTGGGAACTTGGTAGAAATGCAAATATTGGCCCTTCCTCCTCCTCTCTGAACCTGGGGGTGGGCAGGGATCTGTGCAAAATGGAGCCCTGGATGATTGTGATGCAGGACTGCCCCCCCACCCCCCCACCCCCACTGCCTTGCACACCCCTGCACACCCTTCCCCGCCAACGCAGGCTCCCA